CCTACAAAATGCTAATGTAGCACCCATAGGAAAAAATGGGTGACAAAACCAAACCCATTATCTATAGACCATCAAGCCTACTTTTAATATATATAAAGTTATGGAAACAATGAATATAAAATTAAAAGGGGTAATCAGCATTGTTCAGAAAAGTCAGGATGTCCTTAACTAACTTGATAGAGTTCTTTGAAAAACACAGCACCATCAGAAGGCTTTTGATAAAGGTCCTCATAAACAATTAATTCTCAAATTTCAGACTGCAGTCACTGAAGGTTATGCATGTTTGCAGATTAAAAAGTGCTTGATAGAAAACAGAAAGGGCAGTTAAATAAAAGGTTTAGCAAACACTTCAGAAGCAAATGATGTTATGCATCAAGGGGATTTAATACTCTTCTCTCTGTCTCTTTGCAAATCTTACCTGGACAGTTGACTGAACAGCTGTGGTTTAACATTTAAAAGTGGGGACACTGCTGCTATGCCCTTGAGTAAAGCTCTTCCCTCAGATTTCACCAGCAGACATGACTTAAAGTTGATCAGAATCTTATGTTAAAGATAGGGAATTGCAATCTGTATAGGCTACTTTCAAAACAGTTTATTAATATTATACAAGTATGGAGATGGTGAGGGAGCACTGGGACTGTGTTAAATAGCTAATCATTTAACAGGACGTAAGCTCCGAAGCACCTTAAGCATTAATTGGAGAAACAGTAAGCCAAGGATGCAGACGATAGGTGGATCCACTCATATTAATGTACACACACGATTCATACATACACATAGAGTCAGACACTTTAAAATATCAATTAATATTTGTAAGATACACAGTGTGCTCCACACATTGAAAGAGAAAAAAAATATTTCATAGGAGAGAATAATGGAAAACAATGTTTTCAACAAATACTAAGCAAAAATGTATTCAAAGCCTAACAATTTTTTGTGCACATAATTATCTTACGTCCATCATTAAGTCCAGGGTCAGGTTATTGTAAGACACAGATCAGAAGAAAGGTACAAAAATATGCACGGTGTACTTAACCATTAAGAAACTAAAGATGCATTGTTCCACCCAGACAGTTCTTAGATCAGGCTGTCCCTCTTAATTGAACAGCTCTGCAAGCAGGAAACTTGTTAGTGATGTCACCATGAAGAAAATGGCAATTTTGAAAGAGCTCCATGGCTGTGATGGGAGAAAATTTCTGAGTCAACAATAGAACATAAGTGCACAAAACTGGCCTGTATGCTTTGACAAAGCTATCTCAACTCATCCATGGTGTTTACAACAAAGCATTTAACTGATTACTTTAAGCTAAAAAAATAAATGGGATGGAAGTAGAAAATAGTTTAAATAAACCCATAGACCGGACAGGAAACACTTCAAACCCAGTAAATAATTCAATAATATTTCCAACGTATTTATGATTCATGATCAAAATTCATAATATTATCACGGTTAGTTAGCTTTGTGGTAAACTAGTCTATAATTCATAAGCAACAATATTCAGTGAAGTGCAGGTATTTTGAAACTCCCTCAAACCATCAAGTCTGTACCCATTTGGGGGCTTTTCTTGGTAGGGAAAGCCATTTTTCTATTCAAAAAGTGCTGGGACATTAAGAACTGACAACACAAGTGACTATTGAACAGAAAGAGTTGTAGGTATAGTATGTAACAAGCTACTCACTCAGTCATATTGTTGAGACTAGTTTCTTCAAGAAATGGCTGAAAAAGAATCTTGGTTCTATAAAGTACTTCAAATACACAAGCAAGGATAAAAGAATGGAACTCTGTATGGATGTTTTTATTTTCTTCTGTATTTTTGTTCTCCCAGATTCACAGATTTTTCTATTAGATTTTTTTTGTATATTGTACTCACATACCTGGTATATTTTAAAAGTTCAAATGTTCAGTCAGATAACACAACACTGGGACATACTGTTGTACTAAAAAAACTGGAATATTTTTTTAATGAACTGGGCTTGTATATGACAGGATACTTTTTTTTTAAATAAAGTAATTATTTCAAATTTTATAGTGATCATTGGAGGTATTGATTAATGTTAAAATCATGTATTTGTATTATGCAAATTATTTCAGAGATTCCAATGGATTTGCAGTTTATTTTATATGAACTTCCATTTGTATTTAATGAAAACATTAAGTTAATGAAAATCAATTATTTTGAAACATTGCATGGATCATGATTTTTTTTTCATGAATTAAGGTGAAAGCATGTGCCATACACTGACTTAGTCCATGTAATCCAAGTTCAAAGGTCAGTTTCAAAAACGGTAAAATATGCATACTAAATGAAAAACTGCCAGATAGGAAGTACTTTGCACATTACATTTTGTACGTGTGCCTAATATATAATGAAAATGAAAGGTATGGCTTAATCACTAACAGAATACATACATTTTGATGTTAAAAACTGGCCTGCCGCTTTCACTTCTGAAATGAATTTTGTTGAAAAAGTAATAATTTATAGGGAATTACAGTGCATCAATTGAAAAGAAACATATAACTGCCTGTTTCCAGGACAAATCCAAGCTGCTAAACTGAATGCTTTGCTATGTACTGTACAATGCAAATTTTCTATAATTATTGGCATTTGCTTACGTCACACATTCTTATATTGTAGCTACAGTATTAACCTTTTTTATACATTTTTAACTGCTTTATAGTACATTTGGTTTCATCCATTATCACACGGTATTAAAAGAGTTCAAAAACTACGTTCTGTACTATAGATCATTCTGTTGTAATGCTTCATCTTTAACATCTGGTGGAACTGTGCTTTGAATTTTCTTAAATCAGGGGAAGAAACCTTTGTATTGCTAAAACATGAGCTACGTGAAAAGTCCAAAGGGACACAATTCCTGGTCTAATTCTGTGCTTGCAGAAACCGTGCTTCAAAGTAGGCATTGTAATATTGACGTAGTTCAAGTAGGTAGCTGCGTTAGCATCCAAAGAAGGCTCCACAGCTGAATCGTTGCGCTTTTCTTCTCTTTTCAGCAGGGAATAAACCTTTAATTGTGATATTGATGACACCTCATATTTACCTTTCAACTATAACTACCCTGATGCTAAATGTGCTACAATAGAGATGCTTAATATGTCTTGCACACATCAACACAATCTGTTAGGTTCCCATACTACGAATGTGGTTACACTAGGATTCAAAGAAATAAAACCTCCTCTTGTTTGTAAATATTTTCATATTCTCTCATTCTAAGTTAAGTTTATTCCTTTAGCAACATTTCTTATCTAAAGATGTGTGTGATTTGATCCAAATGTTATTCACATTAGAAATGTTGTCTTTGTTTCTAACCTCATACAACCAAATTGAAAATAAATATTTTAGCACTGTATGCTGATTCCAGCAAATTCCAATCATCTGATGTATGCATTCATAATGCATCTTATCTACAACTCCCTTGAAACGAACAAAGATAACAGAACAGTGAGAATGTATTTCCAACTTCAGCCTTATACAGTGTGTCCACTTGATACACAATACAATACTTCAATTTCTCAAGATAACGACCTAAAATCTAGTTGAGAATGTTCGTTATTCCGGTTAATAAAAATGTGATAAGTAAAAGAACATTTATGTCACGTTAAAATGTGTGTGACCACACAGTGATTTTTAATGTCTTCAAAAGAACATGGATCTACTAAATCTATAAAAAAAGAAAAACGTTCTCCACACTGGAGAAGGTCAGCAGCTCTTCCAAAGGGGAGGTATCAAAGTTTCCTTTGCACTCTATGCTTTGAATGTTTCAAATATCAGGTTCTCTACATGGACATAACCTGATTATATTAACCATGCATCATCAGCTTACATTTCAGTTGTTCAGAAAAAATATCTGAATAACAATAATGATAGAACAAGCTGATGAATATAAAGGAATAGCATGCCTAATAAAGCTGACTAACGTCCCAGGCTGACATAATGACCGTGCTTGTCAGAGATCTGTGTGGTCACATCCCCCCTCATGAGATATAAGCCAAGACGAAAATGCTGCAGTGATGTTCCTGAGGCAGAGGAAGGTGTGCTAGAAAGGATGTGCACAGCACCATTCAGCCAGGGGGCATTTATGTATATAGACGTGAAAGTGTGTGATTAGAATTCGACATCCAGCCAAACGTCTGTTCGATAATACCACGAAAACAGAAATCACAACTAAGGGCAATGCACAAAAACAATTTTCTTACCTGACGCTCTCTAAAAGTCCCCTCATCATTTTTTTCCCCCATTTTCCTCTCAATAATTAAAGCATCTTCAGTGGTAAGCAAGTTGAATCATATTAAGACATTTGTAAAACTATGATTGTCCCGATTAACCTCTTGGGTAATTAATGAATATTCACTACAGAAAACACAGTATTTCAGACCTCTTTATAAACAGCAACCTTGAACATCTGAAGTGATCTGTGTCCTCAATTGGAACAGGTGAAGGTTTATTTAATGCTAAAAGGAAGAGAAAAGAGACAACATTTCGGCTTCTACCTTCTATAGGTATCCAACCATTTGAACTATGTCACGAATTGTTTATCCTCCTTTTTGTGGTTTATATTTGTGTAGTTCTAGACTTGGAGATTATAACTACCATCCGACAATCTCGGCCAACAACAACTGTTTTAATTTGTCTAGCTGCACTTTGAGAATTCATTACAGTACATAATTATGGTTTTGTCTTGACTTTCAGCATTATAGTTATGTTCCTCACCATGTTAGACAATACATTTGGTCTAATACCAATTACTATTAACACTTGTTGTCAAAGAAAAGTGTAAAGTCTTGTTCAAACTGTGGAGCTGTTTTACTATAACAGGCAAAGGACAAATTATTTAATCACCTTAAAAGTGTCATGATCTATCAACCCTTTGGAACTTTGAAAATTCATCAAAGAATGAAAAAATATAAAAATAAGAGTAATAATGAAAACAACAATGGTTCTGATAAGAATTTTTTTTCTTGTTATTCCAATAAAAAATACATTCATACAGAAATATAACAATTTTGCAAAACAATTTCAAATAAAATCTTGTAAAGCAAAAAAAAAATCTTACAAAAATTTTACAAAGAGATTCTTTAGATAACAGGGCATTTTGAAAGAATGAGCAGTATCAGTAATAGAAACATTTGTTGGTCAAGTTGCAAGCAAATATTTCAGCTTCATTAAGGCTCAATTACCACCTGAGTGTTTGAGGCAATTCATTTCTAGCCTAAACCCTTGATATACTCTAAACGCAGAGATTTGATCAAGTTTCACTTGTTGGTTTTTGTACACCCTTCTACTAAAGGTTATACAGTATTCATTAGTTTCTGTGCTACACTAGATGTCTTGCCAATGAAAATTGCATTTAAAACATGCAGTAGGTTTCTGACATTAAATCAACAAAGGGGGTTGCACTGCCAATTTTTTAACCATCCATTCACAACTGAACCAATCTTGTTTCCTTCTATTACGAAGAGATGCAGAAATGCAATGTCAGTTGTTACATAAAAAGTTAAAAAAACTACAATTTTGGTCCCTTCCCCTGCAAAACTAAAGAATCTCTAAAAACAATCTAAATTCACAGTCCCTATACAGAAAAGGCTAAGTTGCCCTTCAGTGATTAAATCAGAAATTTAATTTAGAAATCATTAATTCATCAGGTAATTGGGTTTTTTTAAACTGGAATTCTGTTCATAATTTTACAAAGCTTAGGTTAAAACCCCACTCTTGAGGACAGGTCAATAATCAACATCCAGAGTCAGCAGTCTGAAACATTCCATGCCAACAAAGCCTTTATCAATTCATTTAAGAGAGGCAGTACAAGGCAGGGCCTGTCTGACACTTGCTTGTTAATTGCAATAAATCTTCATTTGTCCTCATTCATGACTGCATGAACTAGAGCTTTTGTGTATTTCCATTCTAGATGCTTGATTCATAGAGGCAACTGTAGCATATTCCTTCAGTTTGACACAGTATAAAAAGACCCTCTTTTTAACTTCAACTTAAAAAACGTGTTTGTTACAGTTAAAGTGTATATGAATATGTACCATTCAAATTAAATTTCCTCTACAAATACTGTGCACATTTATATACTACACAGTAGTAAATATATTTAACAAAAGTGTTTTAAGTGCTGTATATAATTTCTGTCATGTCTGAATTCTTATGACTTGATACAAACAAAGGTAAAAACTGTTTTGAGATAACATGCAAGATTCTCAAATGATGCATTTAGTCTAAAAAAAAGACTATACTGATACGTTAAACTAGTTTGGTACTTGAAAACTATAAGGGCTTCCATTTTTTGTTTCCCACAACTGAAAAGGTGCAACTTCACGTGAAATAGAGCCTTAATAAAGCTATTCATCACCCATACCACTATATGCGACCCCCAAGTGAATAATCCACCTCACAGGACAAGGTCACTTGCATAAGGCACCATTAAGGCCAACAGTGCATTAACAGGTAGGAAAAAAGAAAAGAAATTAGTCCTGAAGGCATAAATAAGTAAAACAAAATAGCTGCATGAGTAATCAGTTGCTAAGCAATAGTGGTTTCTCCAACCAAAAAAAGAGGAAATTATCAAGGCATTTATGTACAATATTGTAACATTTAACCAATTGTATTTAGCTGCTCTTTATTGGAATCAATTTGCAGTCCTGATTACAAAGAACAGGAAGTGTACAACCCAAGAACCATGCAACACCTGTCTATTATAATGAAGTTATAGTTGTTATATCTCTAAATACACAGCTTATACAATGGACTACAATTGAGCTTTGTAGCATGTAAAACAAGCTACTTAACACATTGCACATTTATTAGCTGCACCAAACACCAAAAAAGCTCCTCTCATTCAGGAATGGGTTTCCGCCTCAGGGAAGGGCTGCTTCCTTGATTTGACCTATGGACAACAATACCCTCTGGGAAGCGTTTGGTGACAAACCCAATTCCAGGCTCATTCCTCCACTCAGACATTCAAACTCATTTTCTCACAGTTGTACTCACGACCACAAAAGGAAACAAGCACATAATTGCTCCTCATACCACTCAGCCAACAGCAACACTGGTTCCTCCTACCACACAGCGCAGTCACCCAGTCATAAACATTCTCAGTGCACATGCTCACTGCAAAGGCTTTCGGGAGCCAATCTCGTTGGGTACCAGTGTATGTGTCCAGGAATCCCTCAAGCATCACGCACCATACAAACTTTTTTAAATTCTTTTTCTCATTTTCTTACGCTTTGCTGCTTCATACATGAAATTGTTTCAACAACCTTCAGACCACCTTCTTTGAAAGGTCCTGGAGGCACTAGGTATGGTGCAAAATGGCATGCTTTGGCTGGAACACACATCCCTCCACTCAGGGCAGTTCAACCTTGAAGCTGGTCAGCAGACAAGATTTCCCCTCGTTTTCTCTGGCCTGTTCAAAGGTGTCTCTTCATATGAAGAGCCAGGTGGTCAGATCTAGAGAAACACCTGCAAACCAAACAGGAAAATATACTTATGAAAAAAATGTGTTACAGTGCACAGAGAGGAAAAAAAATATGCAGAAAAAAACCTCTATTAAATCTTAAGAGTTGTAGCTCAAAATGCTGGTGCAGCTGCCACTGATTTTAGTTTTATTCAAACACTGATATGTATTTTTTTCGTCCTTTTGTGGACATGCTATTCAATCATATACACAAATTATAGATTCCATACACCCACCCAAAAAACTAAAAGGGGGTTTTTGCAAGTGCAAAAATGAAACATATTCCTTTTTTCAAAACTGTGGATGCATTAAATGGATCAATGAGAGGTGGTAAATGAAAACCTTTGTCTACACAAAACCATCTCGCCAACCAAAACCCAAAGTTCTGACAGCTTTTTTTAAAGAAAAAAATTTGTAATGGATTCAAAAGACACAAAAGTCTTGGCTCATACCTGTCACAGTGACTGCATTTAAATGGCTTTGCACCAGTGTGCTTCCTGAAGTGCCTGGTTAACTCATCACTTCGTGCAAAACGCCACTCACAGCCTTCCCAAGAACACCTGTAAGGCTTTTCACCTGCAAGTCAACAAACACCATCAATAATAAGATTAATTAAATACTAAAATGTGCTCACCATTTCATTATATCCTCAACTGGCTGTAAATCTGATTGTGTTTACATGGCAGGAAGATAAATGTAAGCCTTTCTTGATCAAATAAAACACTGTCTTTATTGGACATTTTAGGTGACTGTCAATTAATCGATGTCAAATGGGACAATAAAGGCAACATAAGGTGCAAGGTTGCAAGAGATTTCAAAAACCCAAAGAAACATTTGGTTATTTAATGTCACTGGAGTTGTTTTGTCTGGGTCACAATAGCTTCTTAAAAGCACAGAAAGAATGCATGGAATGTACCAATGCAAGTAAAATGAAGGACGATTTAAAAATGGTGAAAACATGGAAGGGGGTGTTGTGAATACATTTTCCTCTATACTCATCATGAATTCTGTACTCATTCTGAATAATTCAAATAACTGAAAATAAATGTATTTTATGCCTTATTACAATCAAGTTACTATTCAGGTATTTTCAAATCTTTCAAACGTACCCCTCAACACTAATACGCATCAGTTTGGCAGTATTCCAAAAACAAATGTTGTATATTTATATAAAAACAACAATAATCAATAATGACAAAAACACACCCAGAGATACAGAGTGTAGATAAAAATAGCACACATCATGCATTTTGTAGAAATCTAAATAAATTTAAAGTTTTGCTCACTTTAAAAATCAAAACCAACACATAGAACATAAAACTGCGTTGAAATCTGAACATGATAACAGAGGTTATCCCACTTTTGTTAACACCAATTAAAAAAACAGTACCTACCTGTATGAGTGCGCTGATGTGCTTTTAAGTGAGAACTTTTTGTGTAAACCTTCCTGCACCCATTGAAATGACACCTATGTACTCGTCTTCTTCCATCTGGTGAAGTCTCTCCACTCGCAGGACTAGTCTTTTCTATAGTCTTTCCAACACTGCCAGCTCGAATTTTCCCAGGTGAATGCAATTCAGTTTGTACGCCATTCCAAACCTGCGGGACAGTGGATTCTTTACTCAGCTCTGGAGATGATGGTGGGGTGGTAATAACTGAAGAGCTTAAATGTCCAGAATTGACCAAAACATCATTTAAAGGATTTGAAGTAAAATTAAGAGTTGGCGAGAGCTCCTCTGAGCTATCGGATGCCTCACTGCTGGCATCAGAGTTTAAGCTGTTGGTCTCCAAATTTTGGTTATCCTGATTGTCCTCCTCTTTAACATGAGGAATCTTTGGATCAGACTCCCCTTTGTCTCCACAAGCCAAGATGAGTTTGCTCCAGAGGTCCTCCTGAGTGTCAAACTTGATATCTGAGGCAGAAACGTACGGCTCACTTTGAAGATATCTTTCAAACTCCAAGCATGTCTAAAGGGGGGAAAAAAATACAGATTACCTCTTCTAGAAATAATGAGTCTGAAAAGCAGTGTACTCACTTTCAACTGGCATTAAATAGAGACACATATCAATGAGGCTTTATTTGACCACACATATCCTGAGCAGTAACTGAACTCAGAACACTTTCCTAGAAACAACTGTCAAGTTCAGTAATTACTGTCACACCATGCAATTGACAGATCTTAAAATACTTGCTGTAAACATAGCAAGTTAACATCAGAACACAAAAAAGGGAAATCAGTGATATAAAAAACTTTTTAGTCCTACTGTTAACACAACTTAATATTAAACCAAAGCTGTAAGGCTATGAGTCATGAAGCTATTTTCTTTTAAAGGAAGCCAGGGAACTTCCTCTGTATTTGGCATTTAGCCAATGAAGTTTCATTATACATGCACACAATCCGACCCCCCTTCTCCTAATGCATAAACGCACTCACGTATATTCAAAAAGGTTTTTTTTAAAGTGATGGTCTAATTTTGTCAAATTGCCCTGCATCACAAATTGAATAGCTGACTTCGGTATTCACATTTTAAAAAAGTCCCCGCTCGAACGATGAAAGCACTCTTTTTAAACATTTTATCAAATTATTTCAAGATATCATGTTCACTGGGCAAGTTGCTGCTAACATCATTATACTCTGCACAATGTCAAAAGACGATCCAATCTATTTTCCCCAAGAAGCTTGCGATTGGTATAAGCCGTGTTCATTAGAGAATGGCAATAAAAACACAACCATTATTGATTTACCAAGAAATAAAGACAGCATTTATTATCATATTGTTTAAAATTCTAACTATCACCCTGATCTACATCCTCCATTATGCAGATTGCAAAATCGAGAATGGATCTCTGAGAAGGTTTAAACGCCTCAGAGGCCAGGGGAAGAACTTGGCAAAAAGCCCGAATCCCAAATGCCTGAAGGAAACTACTTGGATCAATTTCAATCACGTACGAACTGCAACAGTTTCTTTGAAGGAAAAAAAAAACATGCAAATTGTGTATGCCTGTGAAGATTTTCACGTTAGCTTGGTGGCATTGCTTTCTTTTAAATAGTCGTGCCAGACACCAAACTGTTAAATTAAGTTTGCGCTCACTTTAAAGACGGCTCAGTTTGAAAAGGCAAACATCAAGACGACTTCAATAACCACACTCAAAGTCCAAATATAACAAGTGTTATGTCCCAGTAACAAGTAAAAAACAATGTAAATACTAATTAAACCAAACGTTGTGACTGTGCCACATTCTTCTTTGAAAGTGTAACTGTTTCCAGTAAATTGTAAATAAAAATAGAATAACATTGCATCAGTTTCATTCATTTACTGAAGCTGTCAGTACAAATGGAGGTTCTTTAAACCAATTATACTGACAAAACCTTCCGATATTAAATGTGTATATAATAACAAATCAAAGAAACAGAATCACTAAGAGAATCATGTATTAATATCTGCGCATGTAGAGATAATAAAATCCATATGTTCTATCTGGAATTAATTCTGCAACCCTTAACTTTGATTTTAACTTAAAATAACGCGAGGAGTAGGTGTGCATAATTGTATCGTGACAGTACATGGATCAAAGTAGTATCTGGGTAATTATTGATACTTGTTTACTACCACATGTAAAAGCTTTAAAGTTCCTGATCTGGACATAAATATAGAGCACAAAGGCTGACAATAGCTTGGTTTTATTGTAAAGATCTGTGCTTCAATAGGTTAGTAAATATTTTTAAAAATTACCTGCTGCCAATACTCTTCAAGAGATGGTAAAGCGGAAAAGTACCCAGTGTCATGCACGATCTGAAGCTCCTGAAAGATGCTGCACATAGGTAGGACATCCATTTTAATCCAAGAAATACGTATAGTAAATTTAGATATTTATAATGTTTGGCTCTTTCTCTTATTTATGACAATTGATCTCGGTGTAGTTGCACATGCGATTGCACAGCAATAAAACGTTGCTTTGCTTCCCGTTGTCGAGAAAAGCAACAACCTCTACTGCACTCTATTTGCAAACACTGAACAAACTGCAAGATGTACACTCTGTAAACTTCCCTATTCAAACCTTGCAGCCAGCCTCCCCCTCGTGACCGTATTACGCTTTTGGAAAATTAACCAATCATGTCGTACCAGCTTGCCCGCGCGCCTATGATATCACCGTCAACCAATCGTAAGCGTCTCCTGACATAAAATTGTCATCTTGGAGGTTGTGATTGGCTCATTTGTCTTGACAGGGCCGTTTGCCTATTGGAGAATGTAGAATCTATTTTTAGATCAGTATATATATGTTGTGCTTCCAGGTTTGGATGTAGCCATTTTTCGGTCATTTTGCTCTGTGGTTGATGGCCACAGAGAGCGCTTCTGAGCTACGAGTACGTATTTTGGAAGCAAGTTTTTTGTTATTCCTCCTTTAACCATTTAAGCTCAAGTTTTGGCTTTCCACGGTTATAATATCACGGTGCAAACCCAGACGAAAATATTTATAAAGTAAGATGTGTATTACAGATTTTACTTGAATAAAATTTTATAAATTTCATAATGTTATCGCAACACCCACATCGATGGATTTATAAAAACACGGTCTAAAACACATATAAACGTATTAAATGCGTACAATTTTAATTTACTGAATATGTTTTCTTACGTTTTTAGTACCTTGAATAGTTGCACGTAGTTTCTTGTGTGTCTAAGAATGCACTTTACAATTCCACAGGGGGAGCCAAGCGCCACAACTGACAACGCTGCACAGTTAACATGTAGTGGCTGTAGTATATGTATAGCAACCTTGGAATGTGACTCTAATATATTTTATATAATTTCACGTCAAAATATGGTCATAGCTTAGGAATTTCTTGAGGTATGATAGCTATTTGTGTGGTATGGAAGTAAACAAAATTTTATAACGCTAAAATGTCTCAACATCAGCTGATTCTCCTGTTGCCAAGCTTAATATTTATTGCACACAACTTTGGAAACATCACTAAATTTGGAAGTTATGTTTTGGAAAAACAAAGCAAGTGTTTCTTTAACCTTTGTCTTTGTGTGAGTGGTGGTAAAAAAATATGCCTTAAGCTGACACTTATACCCATAGGACAAAACTTTCTGTGCTTGTATCATTCCTCTGTGTCATGTCTTGTGTTCCCTTTATGTGCATCGATCCTTCACCTCGATGGCTGCTGTAGTTTTCAGAGTATTGGTACTACATTATTTCATAATGGAGAAATCAACTCAGACAATTCAGTATAGAACAAAACTAAGAAACTTAAACCCATTATTACTTATAAAAAAGAACACTAAGGATCTTTCCTTTAGTGCACTTCTAAGAAGTAGTCCATATCGAAAATGTTAAAGATACAAGCATCAGATATAAAATGTGATTGGCTGGATTTCAGCTGGCACATAGAGGTCCATCAAAAAAAAAAAAATACTCTGCACCAAATTCTTCTGGATTCAGGATTGTGAAACCTTCGGTAACAAATCTTCAAACCACATGGTTAAATGAAGTGCAAGGAAAATAGATCTGAAAACAGAACTTTATTTATTTTGTGGGACAGCCAAACTGCGGAGTAGTCTTGTGGCATGAGACACCCTCATGAACGATTTAATGTACCAGACCAAATATGTCCATTCTTAGCATACTAACATTGGATTGGAAGATTATTGCCTGTCATTTGAGTATTAGATTTGTTTTTTTCTGGAATTTTATTTTGGAGAATTAGTTATTTTATGATAACCATTCAAATTCTAAAAACAAATTTACTTTAAAGGACATCCCAGTTTTGGAATTATTAAAAGAAGACGTTTCCCCCTAAATGTATAAAACATGTCAAAATGCATGATGCTTATATAAGATAACAGCTTAACAAAGTGCTTACTGTAAATGTATTGTATTAAAGTGTTCAATTTTTATCTGAAAGAACACAATTTAGAAAATAGCTAGTACTACTGTAGTGTTAAACTGGGTTTTAGTTTTCAGTTTCCATTTCCAGTAGCTTTTACTCATTGTACTGAATGAGTTTAACTATATTTAGAATCCTGTCAAAAAATTGAATGCAATGCAAATATTTTAGCAAATGTGTGCAGCACTCAATAGCGTTCTTAAACTTTATTTTCATGTACTTGTACAGTGAATGTATCGGCCATGTTGTACTTTGATGTTCAGAGCCAGAGGCAAGTCTCAAATTCAGGATACAGATACATCAGTCTCATAGGGGAAGTCTAAACATTCTTCTCTTATGATGTGGCTCACATGGAGTTTTAGCTATGAACCAGCTGGCAAGCAACTTAAACTTTCTGTGCTTCCGTTAGTCTTTAGCATAAAAATTTCTTTTGTTAATTTCAGACATTTGCATACATTACAATTTAATTCCACATCACATCCTGTCTACCATGCCAGTTTCTCCTGATGAGTTAGGTTTGTGTTTTTGTTAACTTTTTATAGGAAGCAGAGCTCATAATGTTAAGATTAAAGAAAAGTACATAAGTATATGTTTTCATTGAAATAGTTTTATTTTTTTACTGCAGTAGCACAAGTCTTATGGAAATGTTATAAATTATTCTCAAAACATTATAATTGACATTATGTAATAACTAGAAGGTATGGTGGGCTATAATTAAACATATATCAAATGTAACAAAGAAAATCTTTTCAAAATAGGCTTCCTGGCTTTCTATCCACTATACATCACTAGGTAACTGAAAATATTTGGTTAAAATAAAAGCCTACCTGTTTTGCTGCAACAGGATATGAGTAATAACTGTTCACACAGATACAAATTTCTGTATGTAGTCATTATTTGATGTCATCACTGAGCAAAGTACTAAAAAGAGAAATCATGTTACTTAGGTAAAGTTAATTAGTTACTTTTAACAGGCATTTTTGGTACTCTGATTTACACAATATACTCTTGCAGTCATCTAACTGTTCTCTACTGTATGTTAATAATGTTTATAACAATCTATGCACACATAAGAACATACACCTATACAGTGCTCCCAATGAGATCATCCTAAATAATTGCTGAACTGTTACAAAGGAAGGCCAGCACATACAGCAAGTGTCACCACTATTGACACAGAGGTAGTAGATGATTCATTTTTTACAGTCCTACCTTGAAGATTTGCCAGGTAGTTTCTGTTTTTTTTTTTCAGATTCAGTTTATTTTAAACTAAGTAGACCTGGGTGGAGTGGTGACGCAGTGGATAGTGCCTCACATCGCTGGGTCCCTGGGTTCAATTCCAGACCCAGCTAGCACATCTTTGTGAAAGTTTGTATGTTCTTCTCTTGTTTGCATTGGTTTTCATTGGGTGCTCCAGTACCTCCTACAGTTCAAAGATATAGTGTGATATAAAGATATAATAGGTTAATTGGCTTCTGGGAAAATTGGCCATGGTGTGAGTGTGTGTCTGTGTGTGATTAACTCCTCCTGCTCCACTGCGACCCTGAATTAGATACATGGAGAAGACCTGCAATGTCCAATTCATCTGGAGGTGTTCAAGGTCTCTTTAAGTAGTAGTACCTGAAGTGCTTGAAAAAGCTTTTAAACAGGTCCAGTTAAGCCAGTAACCAGCTCATTAAGAGCTGAGCTGAAATGATAACTCACAGATGAATGAGCCCTCCAGGACCAGGATTGGAAACCTCTGGTGCAGAGTGCTACAATGCTATGTCTGCTATTGAAAACAGATCCTAAAATGCTGGTACGACTACAGAGAGAAGTGAAAAAAGGAAGGCCTGCTCTTCCACAGAGTGTGAACACAAGCATGTTGTGAGCGTTCCCACTTTCTGTCACTGCTCAAGAGACACCACTGTTGCAGGGACCTGGGCATCTCTCCAACACTCTTTTTTGCCATTGTAAACCAATCATTTAATGCCTGGTATATACATATTTTAGTCTAAATAAAGTTTAGCTTAATGTATATTTAAAATAAATGTTTAAAATAAGATTCCCCAAACAAGGGAAGTAAAATAAAAAAATGTAACTAATATTAGTTATTAAAAAGAACTACATCAGACTTAATTCTAGTTGGATTATTGTTTTAGTTCATAGACTGAAATGTTATTTTTCCAGAGTATACTTCAACAAGATATTACTGTGGAACATTTCCACTAAGCAGGCAAAATGCAAACTTAATGTGATGATTTTATCCACACAATTATCCTTTTCTGTGAGCTAAATAAAAATGTATTGGAATTCAATTAACCAAATCATTTTGTTGGAAAGAGGTGCTGGCTTAATGTGTTTTGTTTTCAAAAACAACTGTGTAGATAAAGGCCTTCTTTTTAGTAACTAGACCACTGAATCCTTCTTTGTAACTCCATTCTTACTGATACTTTAATGCCGCCATACACTTCTAGTTTCTCCATGACACTAGAAATATCCACATTTCTGTTTCCTCCTTAATATTTGTTTGCATTTCCTTAAAAAGGTCTAGTAAAAAAGGTTTCTGACATTTGTTTTGACATGAATAATAATTTTAAATTCAATATTTTTTCAAGAAAAAAGGGATTTACAGAATAACACTAGATGAATAGCTTTTTTAGATATTTTATATTTTCCTTACCTGTATAGAGAAAACTGATGTTCTACAAATATATGGTCATAAAAAAGAGATGTTCCTCTATCTTGTATTAGATATGGAAGAAAGTTAATGGCCAGAAAACAACAACTGCATTCAGGAGTTATAGAAAGCTGTGATAAACAACATTAAGGAACAGAACTCCTTTGTCTTACCCAACAGTATAGTCTGGTGCTAACCTCTGGAGAACTGAGTCTCTTTTGTAGCATTCAGCTGTAGGCATATTTGTAACTCTAAACATCTGATTTTGTCATATGTTGATGCCCGTGGAATGGCAAAAAAGGCCTAAACAGTAATTTCATAGAAATGCATTAGGAAATATTTTTCATTCAAGTAAATATTGTTAATATCTGAAAGATTCACCAGATGTGGAGATGTATCAAGAACACAATTCTACTGTTTGTCTCTTTTTGAAACTATTGTACTTGCAGTTAACATATAAAATATGTCTAACAGACAATCTCTTAGTTGATTTTTAGGCT